GGAAGCCTGCCTCTCCCTCTCCCACTCCCCCCGCTTGTGTTCCCTCTCTCGCTGTGTCTCTCTCTGTCAAATAAATAAAATCTTAAAAAAAAAAAAAAAGAAATCTCTTGGGGCACCTGGGTGGCTCGGTTGGTTTAGCATCTGCCGTCAGCTCAGGTAATGATCCTGGGGTCCTGGGATCAGGCCCCAAATCGGGCTACCAGCTCCGCGGGGAGCCTGCTTCTCCCTCTGCCTGACACTCCGCCTACTTGTGCTCTCTCTGTCAAATAAATAAATAAAGTCTTTTAAAAAATTATTTTTAAAAAAAGTTAAAGGAAGGTACTGTTAAACCTCTGAGTTATCCTAATTTTTTTCAAAGATTTTATTTATTTGTGGTTTGTCCTACTCGGCTTAGTTTGTCCTTGAGCCTATTGATCTAAAAACCTCCAAAATTAAGTCTCTTGAACTGGGTCCGACCACTGGGCCCTTTGGGAACTCCCTGGGTCTGGTGAAACTGACACCATGGACCAGGCTTCAGGCATCCTCTCTTCCGCATCCTCTACTGCTTCTCAGAAGATTCCTGAAGTGTGGAATCCAGGTAAGGGACCCTGAAGTGTGTGTTCACCCAAAACCAAACTCCCCCCCCCGAGTGTTAGAGTCTGAGAATTCAGACCAGCTCCTGCCATTCATTAAAGGCAGCCCTCACCCACCTGGGGTCTTGAAGGCAATCCCCCGGCCTGCTGGAGCCAGCCAGCCCTGGACAGGGGCCCAAGCATCCTGAGGCTTCTCTCGGGCAGAACATGTTCTCAGCAAGTTGGATCCCACCGGGGCCTTCCAACATGTCACGTCAATACTACCTGAAGGAGGACAGCTCTGAGCCCCCCAGGGGTCCTGGGAAGGGACTATGCTGACCACAGTGTGAGGGACTGAAAATCCTGGGCAGCCCGGAGGCCCTCGGCGGACAGCTCCCTCACCTCTTCCCCAAGAGCCTGCATGTGCCCAGGGGCCAGTGGAAAGGAGGCAGGCTCCATCCTCGGCCCCAGCCAGCTGGACGTGCTGGAGAGCCAACAGCCTGGGAACAAGAGAGGGACGAGAGTGGCATCCTCAGGCCCTCGGGAGGACAATGCGGAGTCGTGTGCCACACGGTCTCCCAGAGGGTCTGCAGAAGGACTGAGTGCCCATCGCCCATAGCCGTGACCCGCTCTGTAATGCACGGTGGTCGGTTTTCTTCTTATCTCTGTCTCACCACCCCTTCCCTCACCGTGCTCCTTGGGATCACCCCCCCCAAGGTCAGTGACTCCCTCAAATATTTCCCTCTAGGTCTGCTCCTGGGGGAGCCCAAACCAAAATAGGGTAATCACAGTGCCCTCCACAAACTGTCTCTGAAACCAGAAGAATCCCACCAGGTGTGATGCGTAGGGACGAAAGCGAGCCTGGGAGTCAGAGAACAGGGCTCTCCTCCCAGCTCAGACGTACAATCCGTGCAACCTCAGGACACTTCTCTGGGCCTCTGTGGTCCCCGCTGTCAATGGGGAGAGGGAGCCCAGAGAAGCATTCTTTAGATTTGGACCACCTTAGGGAAAATGTTTACAGCTATCCTCCTGCCCTTCGTTTTGTTTTTTTTCTAACGTTCAAAATAAACACGATTTACTTGAGCTCTATGGAGGAGAAAACTCCAACTGCACACTTTATTGAATAGCGATGAGCAAATTTTGGCACTGACTCTCAGCTACTACCACCTTGGCAGCTGGATTGTTCCAGAAGTGGCAACGTGGAGACAGCCAGCATACTGCACGTTCATCCTGAAATTAGATCCCAGGGGGCATTGTGACGTGGGCCGGCTGCCCCGGGGTGCAAGCAGAAACCACTGAGAGGTTTGGAGGCATTAGCGCATGCCATGGTCACAGCCACCTGGGACATTTACAGGTGAGGGAGCTGGACCTAAGGTCGCTGGGCGGGTCACAGCTGACCAGGGCATCCCAGACCTCACTCTCCATCACATGCCTCAAGTCTTACTGGACAAGAAGGTCTCTAAGTCCTTTGCATCTCTCAAGCCTTGGGTTTGCACGCTCCCAGCTAGAAATTCATTATTCCTGCCACCGTGCTGGGATTGGGACCTCACTGCCACACTGGGGTCTGGGTGGGTGCCTCAGATGGCCTTGCATCCAGCACCTCTGCAGATGCTCCGCCCTGGGGTGTGTGCTGAGCAGCCGGGCACAGAAGAGCTGGGGGGGGCGGCGCCCGCAGTTGTGGGCGGGGTCTGTGCCCTGGGGGTTGCCGAATGAACGGATTTCGGTGATAGCAAGCTGGTGACCAGGTGACAGCTTAGCTCCCGGTCTTTCATCTCCATCCCGCCCCCATTAACGATAGCACCGTCCTCTTTCCATCTGTCCTGTGAACTGGGCTCCACCACCCAGATCCCCCCTCAGGACTGACAATGTAGTCCCGCAGCTGCTGGCAAGGTTGTCCGCCCTCTCGGGGAACTGCCTGGGCTGAAGGGAGCCGCCAAGGTCACGCCCCTTTCCTGGGGCAGCCCAGTTAGAACTACTGGTCAACACGGGGTACAGAGCCCTGGCTCCTAGCACCAACTCGGGACAACTCTGAAGGGCCATCCTAGCCGCAGAGGGGGTTGGCTGAGGCTTGGGACTTCTCCCTCGCTGCTGCCCTCCCCCCCTCCCACCCGCCCGTGGGTGCCACTGCTGAGAGGGTGCCCTCGGGACCTGCCCGCTCCCGTTCCAGCTCTGAGGCTCCCACCCAGGGTACCCAACCCGCGGGGCCGCCTCTGTCCGTCTTTTCCCTTCTCATGGGAGGAGCCCCCGCCAGCCAAAGGCAGCAGGTGCTTCCACAAGACGTCACCCCACGCCACCCTCATTTGGTGCCGGCTTTTCTCCCTCGCTGGAGGGTTGAGGTGGGGTGCTGGTTCACCACCCGTGGGCTTGGAGTGACACTTCCCCACCTTTCCAAAGGCAAGAGTGAACGAGCAGGGCAGTCTGGGGGAGACTGAGACAGCCTTTAATCAGGAAACCTCAGGGAGGGAGGCAGGATGGCTGGTGGCACAGTCCCAGGGGAATCCCAGGCCCTCTCCGACTCTTCTCCTCCAGAGCGGGGAGCTCAGCAGCCCGACCTTCCTCAAAAGACAGGCCGGCCGTGGTGTCCAAGGAGGATACTGACCATGGAGAGTGCCGATTACCTGCTCTCACAGCACGTTCCAAATGCTTCTTGGGGACAAGGCTGCGTGGGGCCCTGGGGACTTTCCATCCCTCCAGGAGCCTTGCAGAAGTGAGCGTCGGGTGTCACTGGCCTCATTGGCCCCAGAGCCTCCCCGCCAGCGCCCAGGGCTGCTGGCCGTTTTCTCTGTCTGGCGTGTCCCAGGCACGGCCCTGACCTGGAGGCCTGCTTACCCGGTGGACTCGTCCTCCCGTGAGGTCCCCGTGGCGGGTCGCTGGGGGCTGGAGCTGGCCGTGGCTGCGAGGGCTGCAGAGAGTCTGGAGGTGGCGGGAGAGAGTCTGCGAGGCCTGAGGAGGGTGGCGGCGGTCTCTGAGGGGCTGGGGGCCATCGTGGAATGGGCTGAAGCTTCAGTCAGGACAATGGCAGACAAAGAAGGCCTTCTGGTCACTGTCTGGGCCCCAGAGGCTGAGGCTGAAGGCTCTGGAGTAACAGGAGGAAGCCTAGGAGCCCCAGGCGGGGCTGGAGGTAGAGTGGAGGCTCCTGGAGGGATCGAAGGCCCTGGTGAGGGCTGGGAGGCCCCAGGCTCCCCTGGGAATGTGCCCCCAGGCCCCAAAGGGGGTGAGGGTGAGGCCTGGGCTCCTGAGGGGCTCGTGGGTAAAGTCTGTGCGTTAGACAGGTTCATTCTGAGATGGAGCTGGAGGACGTGGAGCACCGACTTCTGAGGCAGCACTGCTGGGGGGCCTGGGCAGGAACTACAGTTCACCGGGGCCTCAGCATCTCCACGGGCACTCCGAGCTGCTTTGCCGACCTCCACCGCCTTCCTCTCTGGGCCATCTAGAGAGAGGTGGAGGAAACAAGATGCACTGGGGTTCTCCCGATGGCCGAGGTGGCCCCAGGACGAGCTGCACGGGGAGGGACAGGGGCTGCTCACACCTGGTAAGAACCAGTGGCCCCTGCCTCCAGGGGGAGACCAAAAAGGAACCATGAGCAGAGGGAAGCAGTCCGCCAAAGTCACTCTGCCAGGCCTTGGCTGTGTGACCTTGTATGAGGCGCATAACTCCGCTGGGCTTCTGCGTCCTCATCTGTAAAATGGGCATCCTAACAACTCACAGGGCCACTCTGAGCACTGACTGAATGGTGCACGCGGGAAATCCCAGCCCAAACCCGGATGTTAACCACGGACTTGGGCTGATAATCCTGCGCCAGTGCGGGAGGCTCACGGATTGTAACAAATGTCCCATCTGGCGTAGGCTGTTGTTAGTCGGGGAGGCTCTGCCTTCGCTCACTTTTGCTGGGAACCGAAAACTGCTCAAAAAAAATAAAGTCTATTGAAAAAAATAATTTCTTTTAAGTCTCAGCCTGGAGCCTGGCACATCATAAGGGCTTGATATATGGGAGGAGAACAAGCAGAGGAAGAGGCTAGGCACAGAGAACATGGGGCGGGAAGAAGCACAAGAAGGAAGAGTGTTGGAGAAAGGTATATGATCAGGAAGAGACAGATGCTGTCAAGCCCAGAAAATCTGGAATGGACTGTATTTTAAAAATTACCTGTAGGACGGTCACACAACTCTGAACCTGCCTGAAGGCATCGGATTGTATACTTTGAGCGTGTGAATTGTACGGGATGTGATCTATACCTCAGGAAAACTGTGACTTTTATGAATTATCAAAAGGAAATAATTTATATTCTAGTGCAACAAAAAGTGCTTTCTCCTTCTATGGAGCTCTTGTTAGGAAGAGGCACGTGCGAACGTAGCCAAAGCAGTGTGTTCCAGGAGAAGGGGCCCGGCTCTGCACCTCACCTCCCTGGGCCTCTGTTTCCCCATCTGGAAGCAGCAGAGCACAGGGGAAGGAATCAGAGAGACCTGGGCTTGAGCCCAGCGCCGCCAGCTAGAGTGCAGCCTTAAGACAGAAACCTAACATCTCTGAGCCTCCATTTGCCCATCTGCAAAATGGAGATATAATCACAGCTGAGGTAACACGGGTCACACGCTCCACACGCGGCCTGGCATCTTAGCTAACGATTAGTCTCTGGACTAATCAGGGGGAATAATCACCATCGGCTTGCTGAGGAGTCTGTGGTGGGTTAAGTGAAGCAAGATCTACAAAGTGCTCGATGGTTCTCAAAACAGGGCTATAGGGGCTCAGGATGCTTCCAGCCCCCTCAGTCCTGACGGCAGCTCTTCTTCAGCCACGGACCTGAAGAGCGACCCTAAATATGGAGGATCCTCTTCAAAAGGCCAAAGGAGTTAAACAGGTATTTTATCCAAGAGGAAATCCAGGCCACAAATCAGTAGAAAAATTCAATGTCTTCCTGGAAGTTTAAAAAACATAAAGCAGGGGCACCTGGGTGGCTCAGTCGTTAAGCGTGTACCTTCGGCTCAGGTCATGATCCCAGGGTCCTGGGATCGACCCCCGCATCAGGCTCCCTGCTCAGCGGGGAGTCTGCTTCTCCCTCTCCCTCTGCCGCTCCCCCTGCTCGTGCTCGCTCTCTCTCAAATAAATAAAATCTTTTTTAAAAAAGAAGCATAAAATAGCCACATTTAAGGTACTTTATGGACATGTTAAATCAGAAAAATTCAATTCAAGACACACAGCGTAGAGTTGGTGGGAGTATGGGGAGCCAGCTACATCATGGTGAGTTTCCTGTTTCTCGAGGACACTGCTCGGATGAGGACCCCCGTCTGGTGCCACTCTGTCCTGCCCCAGGAGGTCCCACACCGCTCCCAAAGCTCTACCACCCAGTACTCCACCTGCTAACCACAGGGCCCCAACCATGTGTCCTCACCACATGCTGGCTGTGTGACCTCGGGCAGAACACATTCCCTCTCTGAGCCCGGGCTTCGCACATCCAGCCCTTTACAAGGGCTAGGTTTCTGGGAAGAAGAGTAAAGTGCAGGAAGACACAGAGAGGCTTCAGGACCCAGAGGCCCACTTACCTGGGCAGGAGGGACAGCAGTCCCCGGGGGGCCCAGAGGGGTCGGAGCAGGCCCGAGGGCAGGGGACCTTCTCACAGCTCACCTCTCCCAGCTGGGGAAGCACAAGCACACACATGAGGAAGCCCAGATCGTCTCCCCTCCTGTAACAGTGCCCCTAGGCGCCTCTTCCACCCACAGAAAGATCCTGGGATGGAGGCTGACACCGTAGGGCTGCTTTAAGGAACCCACAAAGAGGGAGGATACCATCAAATCCAAAGGCATTCTAGCTGCTGTTTAAAGTTGGGAAGGCAGGAGGAAGATGGGCTTCCGTGGCCTAAGGGGGCTCAGTTTCGCAAAGGGACAAAAGGCAAGCAGCAGTCCCCTGGCCGGGCCGCTCCCGAGTCCCCAGGCCCAGCTTACCTGGCATGTGCACTGGGTACAGGGCTCATCGTCCAAGGTGAACACCTGGCCGTTCACCACCTTCCTTCCCTCGTAGTTGCAATCTGCAGGGGTGGAGGAGACCAGGCCGTGAGCCAAGGCCTCCCCGGGAGCCTGGGACACAAGGCAGCGGCTCCCCCACTCACCTCTGCACACCGGGCAGCACTCCCCATCAGGGTGGAAAGGGTAGGTGCAGGTGATGGGGCAGTCCACAGGGGAGCAGGCCACGGAGCCCAGCTGCACGACACAGAAAACACACGAGTCCCTTTGTTCTGGGCTGCCGATGGGACACTCGGGAAGGATGGCCACAGAGCCACTGAGTGCCCATCGGAGCCCCCGTGGTGCGGGGACAGGTTCATTCACTCAGTCAAGAGTCTGTCTTCCTGACAGAACGCAAGCCCCATAGGGCCAGGGGCCTGGCCTTGTTCACGCAGCTCATCTGTCAAAAGGCCCCAGCGGAACAAACCCACGAATTACCCGGGAAAGGTGAGCACCAAATACCAAGGAGAAGGACCCAGAGCCTGAAGCTCCCCGAAGCACGTGAGTGAACAGGCCCACTCAGAGGCCGAGACGTTCGGCGCTAAGTTCCTCTGATCCCGCAGACCTGTCGCTTGCCACGCTGCGTCCTGACCCACTGTAAGCAAGAAGCTCCACCGGCATCAAACGTTTCCAGCAACACAGGCAGGAAGGCCTTTCTCCCCCATTTTCCCAGTCCTAAACAATACAGACAATCCCATATGCTTTTTCAGACTGAGAGGCAGTCTGGCTTCGGGGCAAAGTGCACCTCCGAGAACACGGCCTCGGGATACCAGGATTCCATTCTTGGCACTTCAGCAGACTAGCAGCAGGATCTTGAGGGAAGAATGACTTCTTGCTGTGCCTCATTTTTCTGACCCACAGATGGAAAGGAGAGTGGCTCCCACCTCACAGGATTCTTGCAAAGATTAACTGAGCTCATGCAAGGAAAGGGCCGAGCCAGACTGGCACACGGTAAGAGCTCCATCATGTGAGTCTGAGACCGCAGCTCAGAGTCCTGGGCTGGAGTCCCTCATTTGTGCTCTCAGGGAGCACTCCCACGCTATACTATGAGGAGCCCCCCAGATGCCCTCTGGTCACCCAGAAGCAGAGGACTTTTGCCATGCAGGCTTAAAAACGATTTCTCTGGCCCTGGGTAAAGATTCACCCCAGGCAGGGCTAGAGGGAGCCAACCTTCCCTGTGACCCAGAGTGACCCTTCTCATGAAGGGCTCTGGATTGCGCCTCCAAGGTCCAGGAGCTGGTGTCAGCCCCTGGGGAGTCTCCACAGACAGGGGTCAGGGCTGGGGGGGCCGTACCAGGCAGATGCAGCTCAGACACGGGTCCAGCACGGACGGGAAGGTCTGGTTGTTGTAGAAGATTCTGCCTGTGTAGGTACAGCCTGCCAGAGAGAGCACGGGGGTGAGCGCCCGCCGGGCAGGTGGCCGGTGACCAGGCTCCTGCCAAGGGCTCAGGTCCGAGAGCTTTCTGGGTAGCAAAGGTCAGGCCAATTGCCTCCCCAGGCAGTCACCTTGGGTTTGGGGAAGGGACAAAACACAGGTCTGGACTGGGTGCCACCTCTTTTTTTTTTTGCCCTGGATTTAGCAGAGGGATCAGAATGTTTCCACTTCCAGGGAAGGGAGTGTTTCCTCCTCTGCCCCTCCCTGGGCAGGATCAGGCCAGAGGGGCTGGCCCAGGCACCACTGCCATCCTCTCTGCTCTTCCCCCCCCAGTCACTCAGCCAGTCCCCACCTTCCAGAACATTCCCCCACACCCCTCCCCTGGGCTTCCCCAAGCCCACTGAGGTCTGATCTGAGTATTGCCACCTTGATGACATTTATCACATCCTAGGAAGCAGAGAGCAGGTGATAGGACAACAGGGAAATGTTTTAGAACATCTGTATGTTATTTGTTAGATACAGACACATGTTATAGACCTGGGACATAGAGACAGAGACACTTCACGAAGAGAGATTAGAAAAACAAAACCACGAGGCTAAAAGTGATAAGGGGCCCTTTTTAATTGTTTTTATTTTTGCTTTCTGTATGTACTTCAATAAAATGTTACTTCTGAAATCATGGAAAAGCGGAACATTAATATAAAAAAAGAAAGCAGCATTGTTATGTTCTCTCACTGTTCCCTGATTGTTTCACAGAGATGGTTCCTTGGTCCCCCCACCCGGGCTGGAAGCTCAGCGTATCTCCACATCTGCTTCTGGCACCCAGACAGGGCCGGCCTTGGGCAGACGGCTTTGTATCTCTGAAGCCTGCGTTCATCATCTGTACCACGGGCTGGCCCCGTGGGGCTGCGGGGATGAAGCTCGTGTGGTCCATCCTTTGCACAGAGGAGCCTGGTGCAGGACAAGCCCAGAAGCAGGGGGAGGGGGGCAGGATCCTGCCAAGAGGAGCAGGGGGTGCTGGGCAGCCCCCCAAGGAGGAAATTACCTGCAGAACAGTCCGGGCAGCACTGTCCAGGGATCCGAATTGGGTGAGGGCAGGAGTCTACGCAGTCTGTCCTCTTGCAGCTCACTGAGCCATCTGCCTGAAGGAAGGAAGAACTTCACCAAGACCCCACCTGTAACACCAGGCCCCGCCTCCCTGCCCCACTCCGCCCTCCCAGCACCCCCCACCCCCAAGAAAGGGCAGTGATGCAAACTGGCCGAGGCTTGCCATGATGGGAGGTGGCAGGTCCCCCACAAAGAGGACCGGCTCCTGGGGAAAGGGGGTGTGAGCCTTCCACGAAAGCCTCCCTATCTAAGGAGAAGGAAGGTCAGAGAGGGGTTTTGGTCTCCGTGGCTTCCTGTCCCTCTCCAGCACCAGCCAAATCTCACCACCACCCCATCCAAATTCTTTCGCTCAGCTTTTGCCTGGAACCCTCGCTCACCCCAAACCTACGGAGTACCATAAAATCCTATTTTTATAGAAAACTATTCCACCGGAAATGTCTATTTCAGAAGACAAAAGCACCACATATGGTTTCTTTCTTTTTTTTTTTTTTTTTGGTCTAAGACTCTGAATGTTGATGAAGATTTTGTGTAGCTTTCTCATACTATGAGTGCCCTGGATCAGTCATAAAGGGGAAAGGCAGCGGATATGCCCTCCTCCCAACTGTAATTCCGATGAAACGCTTCCAAGTTTTGCAAGGGTCTAAGGCTTTTTCACAAACGGTGCATCCGAGACACTCGAAGGCCGTGACTCTTACACACCAGTGTGCACACAAGTCACCCGGGGGATTAAAATGCAGATTCTGAGTGTGGAGGTCTGAGTAGCCAGACCTCTGGATCTGGAGATTCTGCACGTCCAGCAGGCACCACTGGGGCACGGACCTCATTTTGAGAAAGAAAGCTCTAAGCTCCAATGGACTAAAGGCTCTTCTAAAGCAGAAAGGAAAGCGAGCGTGTACTTAAACAATGAGCTGTAACCAGTGTTTCCTGGTAAGCGGCTGTATTTGCATCTGGCCCATCTGACTCTAAGACCCGCGCACCGTCTCCTTATCCGTTTCGGATGAGCTGAGGTCACAGATTCAGGTCATGAAGGAAAAACCCTGCAGTGTCGCAGGAAAGGCCCGAACCACGGAGCCTCAGGTCATCCCACTCCTTCAGTTATCTGTGCCCAGGGAAATCCTACCCTTGGGACCCCTGACTCCTCCCAAGCAGCAGGTCACACCCCCTTCTGTACAAATGGAAGCTGCCGGCATAGGAGGGAGAAGGAGGGCAGGCTGAGGTGGCCCAGCTTCGGGCGCAGCAGGGAGGCCTGGCCAGGAGGGCCCGGTCAGGGCCGAGGGGTCTGCTCGGGGTGAGGCAGGGACAGCCGGAGGGGGGAGCAGCTGAAGGCGTGCAGGTTGCCATTCACCTGGCAGATGCATAACTCACAGGGGTCACCGGGAGACCAGATCTGTCCGATCGGAAACTCAACCCCGTTGTCGTCCAGAGAGCAGCCTGGCCAGGGGACAGTGAGGGAGAAAGCGCGGGTGGGCACAAGGGCCGAGGAGGGCCCTGAACGCCTGCCCAACCTACAGCGTGCCTGCCACCCAAGGACAGCCGCCTCGGCTCACTCCCACCACAGAGGGTCCCCCAGAGCGTCCATCGCCCCACCTGCTGGGCCCAGGGGCTGCCTGCAGCTGCCGATCCAGCTCCAACGTTTAGGGAGTTTTCCCCCCAGACACGTGCCCAGTCCACACAGGCAGCCTCACGCAAACAGATGCTTACCTCAGAACCCGTAAATGCGCACTTGCACACAGTCGCACAAACACGCACCCTCCCAGAGACATACGGGAGCAGATGCCGCTCCCACACACACAGACACGCTTCCAGAAACATACACAGGGTCTCAGCAGGTGAAGCGCCGCCGCCCTCCTGGAGGGCATCCAGGCCCCAGGTGGGGCAGAGGCCGGCATGCAGGGCTGGGGGCCCTCACCTGTCATGGGTGTGGGCTCCCGGCAGGCGAAACAGCACTGTCCAGGGCCCAGCCACCAGTCCTCTCGGGGGCAGTCCAGGTCTGGACATGGTGTGAAGGAACATTCTACCTCCCCATTCTGAAAGAGAACCAAGGGCACAGGCCAGTGAGGGCAGCTCCCCAGCCTCGCGCCGTCTGAAAGCTAAAGAGGAGGCTGGCAAGCGGCTGTCACCCTCCTAAAAGTGACAAAGAATCTGCGGGGGGTGGGGGGGAGGAGTAGGAGGAGTGGGGGTGGGGTGATGTGGGGGAGGGGGGCAGGAAGTAGGGGGGAAAGGCTGGGAGCGTGTTCTGGGATGTCCCGGCTGTTGGGCTGGGGGTCCCTGCCTTCCCGGGCTGCAGCCCCAGCCCCACTTCCCCTCACTTCAGCAACAGCCTCCTGCTCTCCCTCCAGTCTGCCCTCACTCTGCGGCCGGAGAAAGTTCTCGTGCACCAGTGGGATCGCATGGCTCCAAACCTAAAACCCATCAGCAGCTCTGCCAAGCCCAGAGCCCTCAGCCTGGCCGGCAAAGCCCTTCATGACTGAGTCTGAGGTAGAGGCCATGGGGCCCCCTCCTCCCCAAGACCCCTTCCCCTAAGTACTGCCCTTGGCTGACAGGGGATGGGCCCTCCAGGTACCTGGATGGTTCCTTCTCCCCCCACTCCACTCTCCGGAAGCAGAGAGAACATATACAACTGACTGATGCCCAGCTCCCTGGCCTCTGGGCACAGCCATCTCTGCCATGCAACTCACTCCAGAGCTCCCTGTGGGATCAGCCTGAGACCCCGTTGTCCCCTGCCTGTCCCGCTTCCCTGGCTGGCTTCTCCTGAGAATCTTCGGAAAATCACTTACATGCCCCAGGCCCTGTTTCTCGGACCCCAACCCAAGCACCATCCCTGTCTGCAGCGTCTTCTCCTGCCTGATTCGTCTCCCACATTCTGCGCCCCAACCAGAAGGGACACCTTCAGGCCCTGACAACAGGCCACGCGCTCTCACCTCCTGCCATCTGCTCATGCCAGGCACCTGCTCTGCCAGGCACACCTGCCTCGGATCCTCTTCTAATAAATCCCTCACCCCTCAGATCTCGACTTAGCACCTCTCCCTCCAAGAAGCCTTCCCCTCCAGTCAGGAGCCCTAGTCACCTGCCCATGGCCCACCTAGGCTGTGGGCCCCCTGAAAGAGGGGACTGGGGCTGTCCTGTGCTTAGCTGTGTCCCCAGCACTCAGCATTGCTCCAGGCATACAGTAGGTGCTCTATAAATAGTTCTGCTGAAGGGTGAACTTCATGGAGACTGTGGGTAGCCCTTGGTGAATGCAGGTCCCCATAATGCCTTTGCTGCCTCAGTGTCCCTTCTGCTGCATGGCAGCTCCTATTCTCCTGGTCAAGGCATGCTAGCGAAGGCCTGTGCCCGGCCTCTCTCCTACACCCACCTACCTGGCAGACACAGGTGGTGCACTCGTCACCACCCCCACTGAACACAGCCCCGTCTGCGTACCACCGGCCGTGGAAATAGCAGCTCACTGCAGGGGAGAAAGGGAGAGGCAGCTCAAGGTCTGTGGGCTGGGGCAGCTAGAGAGAAAGGGGAACAGTGGGTCAGGGGGGCCCTGGGGAAGCTAACACACTCCCACCATGCTCCACAGCATGCACCACGCTCAGGGAGCCAACCACTCCCCTCCAAACCCTGACACAAACTAAGCTGCTGCTTAAAAACTGATGGAGAATGAACCACACGTAAACTAAGATCCTTAACCAAAAAGTGAGGGGACTTCCTGAATCACTAAAAAGTAAGAGAAAAGCAGAAATGAAAAGAGACTGCCCCAGGGGTTCCTGGGTGGCTCAATTGGTTAAGCATCTGCCTTCAGCTCAGGTCATGATCCCAGCGTCCTGGGATCAAGTCCCGCCTTGGGCTCCCTGCTCAGCAGGGAGCCTGCTTCTCCCTCTGCCCCTCCCCCTGCTTGTGCTCTCTCTCTCTCTCTCTCTCTCTCAAATAAATAAATAAAATCTTAAAAAAAAAAAAAGGAAAGAAAGAAAGGAAAAAGAAAAGAGACTGCCCCAGATGCCTAAGACAAGGTCTGGCGCCGAAGCCATCCCCTGGAGACCAGGAGAAGTCAGTGAAAACCTCTAATCCGAGGATCCCCCCACCGAAACAGTCCGCAAGCTAGCCCAGCCCCACCTGGCTTAGTCAGACTGCCCTGGGTTCAAATCCCAGCTATGCAACTCAGTGGGGAGGGATTTGAGGCAACATCCTTAATTTCTCTAAACCTCAGTCTTCCCATCTGTAGAATGGGGTTGATAAGAGCTGATAACGGTTACTACTTCATAGGCAGTATATTAACTATTCAAAAATGTCTTAGCTAAAAATAACATTTAAAAGTTAAGAAAAACATTTTTTTAAAGAACACCAGCTTTGCAAGCAGGTAGGCTTGATTTCAAGTTCTGTTCTTGTATTAACTGGTTGTACGTCTCTGGGCAGTGACGACCTCAGTGAGCCTCGGTTTTGTCACCTATACAATGGGGCTATGAATAGTACTCCCTCGAGGCTGAGCCACATGGATTCAATGAGATCAAGGGCTGGCAAGCAACAGCACAGAGCCGTCAGGGAACATTCGTGATGATGATGAGGTCATCCCAGGAAAAGAGAACCACATTTTTAACAAAGGACCAACTCATTAGTGGGGAAGGGGAGACGCCCTCCCAGCCTCAAGACAGAGCCATGCCAAGGGTGGACTCACACCCCTTCCTGGCTGTGTTGAAGGCGCCCCCTGGGGCGGGGAGCCCTATCTAGCATCCAAACCACTGTGCACATAGTAGGTGCTCAATTAAACTGGTACTTTGAAATGCTCCACTTGATCTGAGTTTCTTTCTTTTTTTTTTTTTTTTATTTGAGAGAGAGAGAATGAGAGGCAGAGAGCATGAGAGGGAGGAGGGTCAGAGGGAGAAGCAGACTCCCCGCCGAGCAGGGAGCCCAATGCGGGACTCGATCCCGGGACTCCAGGATCA